AGCAAACCAGCCAACTCAGTGTAGTCAAGAGGAACAGATTCATAGCTGATCCCTCACATTTTCCAAAGCTGCAAATCTCATGGAAGGATACTGCCTATCTTTCTCCTGCTGAACAGCGGGTGGATTTGAACTGCCTGTCTTTGAGTTGGCAACCTAATTGCTTAGCCAATAAGCCACCACACACACAGACACTCATACGAAACCATATATTCATGTTAGGTGCCATCAAGTCAGAACTTATCCATAGCTAACGTTTTGACAGTTTTCAGAGGCAGTGACTCACATGGGAGGGGACCACCCATCTTTCTCTGAGCAGCAGTTGGTGGATTTGAACCACATACCTTTGGTTTGGCAGCACAGCTCCTTACCCTTGGCCTGTACTCTGTATGGAAGCATAGTTCTTCCTCCCGTAGTGCAGGTGGGTAGGTTCAAACTGCCAGCTTTTCTATTACCAGCTAAGTGCTTAAACACTGTGTCACTAAAGTATTGCCAAGGAGCCGCAATGTAAAGGATATTCCTCTCCCAGTGCTTTGCTCTACAACGGGTGAGCTTCATGTCAGTCTGGGTGGATCTGGGGCCTGTACCCAGCACCTTATTCTTGTTTTCACTTTAGTAGAATCAGAAAGTCACAGACTGGGGAAGGTATATCTGGTCAGGCTGGGGAAGGGATCTGTGGCCTTGCTGTTTTATTAAAAAATAAGGTATCAAGATTTGTTTGTTTTTTTTTGGTTTTTCTTTTTTAAAAAAAGGTCTAGAGGGTCTCCAAGTCTTCTGTGTACACAGCTGGCCGCTCCTTACCCCTGAAGGAGCCCAGCTGTGCGTCTGCACCCCTCCTCCTCTGGGAACTGAAGTTCATCTCAGGTCACTCCTGGCTCCCTTTGCCCTGACTCAGTGGAATCATACAGATTTGTTTGTGAGCTAACACTCAAAGTCAATCATGGTTTGAGATCTTGAAGTAAATTCTGTCCAGATAAGCACCAAATTAGGATATTAAAGAAGTATTTTAAGAAGGATTAAGAATGGAGGTTTGACGGCGGAAGCCCCACAAATTTCTTGTATGATTATAACTAAATGAAGGAACTGCTGTCATCATCTATTCTGACTCGTGATGACCCTGCTCCATAGGGTTTATAATGGCTGATGTTTTTGCAAGTAGATCAAGGAGCTCTGGTGGCCTAGTGGCAAGAAGCTGCACTGCAATCCCAGAGGTGCGCACTTCAAATCTACCAGATGCTCTGCTGGAGAAGGAGGCACAATCTCTTCCTGTACCAGTCAGATCCAATTTGACGGTACACACACAAAATATAATAAAATTTAAAAAAAAAAGAGTAGATCAACAAGCCTCCAACCTTTCAGTCAGCAGCTGTGTGCCTTAACCATGTGCACTACCCACCGAGTCCTAGCAGGGGAAGCTGTGGGTCACCCTCTTCCCACCCTTACTCTGATGGACTGCATTCCCAACTCCTCCAAAGCAAAAGATTTTGGTCAGAAAATTCAACACGCTCAAAATGTAAATCACTCTCAAAACATAAATCACAATCAAAACATAAACCTCAGGGCTGAGAGATAAGCACTACTGACTACAGAGATTACAGCTTTATTGGGAGAAAAACCATTAAAGTTAAGGCTGGGAGCTGAATGCAAATCATCAGGATTCAAGTGTGAAGCTTCTAAAACCAAACCCTCTGCCACTGAGTGGACTGCGACTTTAAAGCAACCCGGAAGAACCCTGCAGGACACTGTGGAACCCTACAGAACCGAGTAGAAGTGCTCACGAGATTTCCAAGTCTACAAACCCTTACAGGAATAGACTGCCTCATCTTCCCAGAGCACCTGAACTTCAACTCTTTACTTAGCAACTAATGCTTTAATTGCAGTGCCACCGGAGCTCCTTGCACACCTAAAGAGGAGACTTAACAGTCTTAGGTCTTAAAGGAGAACTAATAGTGGAAAAGAGGCTGCTCCAAATGCAATCTGACGGAGTCTGAGGGAGACTTCCAGGTCCTTCACACCAGGACCTTGTAAACTCAATTTACCATTCAAATAAGCAGCACAAGCCACACACAGAATCCCCCAGTAACCTCTTACATGCATCATGGCGTCTGCACTAGCTTTCCGTCTGGTTTTTACCCTTAAACTCACTTCTACTGGTCGATTCTGAGTCCCCCGTGAACCTCCACTGCTCGTCCGAGACGTTAATGTTCACAGGACCAGAGTGCCCGTCTCTCGCCTCGGAGCAGCCTGTGAGCAGCAGGGGCCTTTTTAGTTAAAAATCTTCAGACTCAGCCACCAGGCCTCCTTAGGCCTCAGGATTTTACCAGGTAAGTGGTCATGCCCCTAAAATGAATTTGGGGCTACCTCTTTTACCGGGTCATCTCAGTGCTCCCCTAAAGTTCCTAAGAGTGGGTGACAGCCCCTAACTTTGAGACCTCCTTAAGAAGTTTGAGCGACCACAGTTGTCCCCCACTTTTTACAAAATTGCAGGAGGAGGAGATGATTTCACTGATGAGGAAATCACAAAAATAACCGCCAGGTAGGTGACCTTTACCCAGGCCCTTGTTTCCTGCTTCAGAGAAGTTCCTGGTGCTCCGTGACCTGTTCCCTCTAAACACCGTACTGTGTGCTTTCTGTGAGTCCAGAGTTCTTCCTTTATAAGCTCTCGTTTGTCTCTGCTGTGCCATCCTCTTTCTCCACTATACCCAGAAACCCAACCCCCAGGCTCCACGCCAAACAGCCAGAAGCAATTACAGCTAAATCAAGGTGCATTTGGGTTAGGAGTGAGCTCTGGTGGCCTGGTCTGGAGGGAGCAGTGGCTAACCCAAAACCTGGTGATTCAAATCCACCAGTGGCTTCATGGGAGGATGGGCTGTTTCCTTCTGTGGAGTTTATGGCCTCAGAGACCCAACGGAGGGTCAATTATGATTCAGTTCTGACTCAGTGGCAATTAAGTATGAGAGTTGTATCAGAAGCCTAGACCCTGCCCTCTCTTGCTCACCTGCTTAGAAAGGCAATCTGTGGGAGGGAAAACATCTCTATGGAGAAACCCGTTAGCCAGCCTGTGACACTGACGTCATCAAGAAAAGGAGAAAAGCCACTCAGGTAAACCCCGGCCGTACTTAGGTCACACTCTGTTTCCTTTACAGCTCTTTCTCTTAACTGCTGGGCTAACTTCCAGTATCTCCCTGAGCCTCGAGATAGAAGAATGAAATGTTGTGAGATGGTACCGATACACTTAAACTAGAGGGAGGATCCTTGTGGGCTGAATGCCCTGAAGTCCTTGAAAGAGGTCCTCTTGTAATCCCATAATCTCCTCCATCAGTGCACCCGTCCCAGAACACACTTGCAGGTATGAACTCTGATTTTTCTCCCTGAGGCTGGGGTGCTTTCCCCACACATGGCAGATTACAGAGTTTCTCACCCAGTGGGGTGGGTGCGTGCCGCCTGGGCTCACTCACCCTGATAAACCAGCCTGTCCTCATTGCTGGCAAGGCCGGCCCAGGTGTCGGAAGGGAGCCTTGGGAAACTACTTTCGCAGCTGACACTTGATACAGTGGTGCTCACCTGCCCGCCTGTGAGAGCTGGAACTCACTCAAGCCAACTGCCTTGTTTTTCTCGGTCTCAATGCTTATCTCCCTTTCTCCTTCAATCTCTGCTAGAAGAAAATAATTTGCATTTTCCTTCTCTGACGCAGCTTTTACTGTATTACCTAAAAGGTGTTCTTCCCTCTCTGGGTGGTTCATCAAAATGTGGTTTCTGTTGTTTGTTTTGAATGAAACAGAAAAGAACTGAAAACAACAGAGCTCTTAGTGTGTTACAGGCTGCGTACTGCTTCACAATATTTTTATTTTGGTGTGTTAGTATAAGTTCTTGATCTTCATGCAAACTATATTTCTTATTTTGACCTCAGTAAAAAAAAAAATAAAAAAAAACATTAATTTAGTGTCTGGGTATCAGATACCCAAGGAGCCAGAGGCTGTGATCACATAGCTTGATCTGCAACCCAGCCCACCTTGCCAAAATCCCCTTCCAAAAGCTGGCAGCTCCCAGCCATTTCTACCTGCAAAACACAGAAGATCTCTGTGGATCTGAAAGTCACCTCCCCAGGCTCTGAGCATGTTTGACAAGCATGGGGAATCTACTTGCACTTTTCAAAGATGATCAAAGACTACTGCTTCAAATACAGATTGTATCTCGGCTTCAGGAAAACAAAACTCACCACCGGACCAAGAGGCAACATCATGATAGATAAAGATTAAAATCGTCAAGACTGTCATTTTATTTCAAAGGCAACATTCATGGTAGCACTAGTCAAGAAATCAAAAGTCATGTTATACTGGACAAATATTCAGTCAAGGGCATCTTTAAAGTGCTGGGGAGCAATGATGTCAATTTAAAGACTAAGGTGTGCCTGATCCAAACCATAGTATTTTCAATCGCTTCGAGAAAGTGCAAACAGAATACTCTTTAGAGACAAAGATACTGACACTTCATCTCAACTTTGGGTATGTTGTCAGGAGGGGTCAATCCTTGGAAAAGACATCATGTTGGGAAAGGTGGAGGGTCAGAAGAGACCCTCAACAAGACGGATTGTTGGTGTGGCTGTAACAATGAGTTGGAGCATGTAGAAAGTCCTGGGGAAGGTTCAGAATAGGGCAAGGTTCGGGTCTGTTGTTCATAGGGTCATTATGAGTCATAGTTGACAGCATGTCAAATAATGTTGTTGCCGACTGCCTTTGAGTCAGCACGATTGATAGCGATTCTATGAATGAAAGGCCTGAAGCCCCTCTACCACTATCAACATTTATCAAAGTTCATAGACTTTCCGGAGGCGTGTTATTGAGGAAGTGGATGCCACTCCTGCTTCCAATAATACATAAACAAAAACCTCATGTGGACACTGAAATACTAGCCTACTTAAATTTGTGCTTAAACAGCTGAGATCACTCCTTCAAGGACCACAGGGGAAGGTAAAGAACCAAACGGCCTACAAAACGACTCACCTCTCCCGGTGCACAGGTATCTGCATTTGTGGCATTCCAGGAGTCCTTCAGCCTCTGACTGGTAAAATTCCACTTCCTCTTGTCCAGGCCTGAGGTTCGGGGGCACGTATCTCCCTGAAGTAAATGCGCTGTAACTGAAAAGCAAATACACCATTGTTAGTGTTGTCAGCTGATTCTGACTCACTGAGACCCTTCAAAAGCAGACGTGTTTTTGAACCAACAACCCTGTAGTTGGTAGTTCAGCATTTAACCATCTATGCCACCTGAGAACTCCCTTCATACCATTACCAGACCCACTGCCATCATGTCCATTGGGACATGATTAGGGCAGAGTACAATTGCCTCAAAGGTCTTCAAAGGCTCACTGGTGGCACAGTGATTAAACATCTGGCTGCTAACTGAAGTTCAGTAAAACCTTAAGAGAAAGACACGGCAGTCTGCTTCCATAAAGACTGTTGTCAGGTGTCTTTGAGACCTAGGAATAACAGAGCCACACCTCATCCTGTGTCATCTTTACTGTGCTCAAGTCCACTGCTGCAGTGACTCTGTCGCTCCGTTTCATTGAGGGTCTTCCTGTCCTTAGCTGATCCTCTACTGTCCCAGGTGGGATGTCCTTTTCCAAGGACTGGCCCTTCCTGATATAACATACACAAGGTTATGTGCAAGCTGAAGTCTCATCCTGCTTACCTCTAAGCTGTGGGGCCTGAAAGGATGCCCGAGGACAGATTTCTGTAGCTCTTACCCCAACAGCCCATCTTTTCAATAGAGAAAAGATAGAGATAAATAGCCCTTTGGTTCAAACCACCAACTGGCTGTGAGCAAACGTATTCCTATCACTACTTTTGGATGAATGGAGAGGTGGGGAGTTTAAGATGCTAGACCTCTCCTTTAGAAGGAAACCTGAAACTGCAGCTCTGGATTCCCCCAGGTCCCATAGCTGTAACACAAAGTGGTTTGAACTAAGAAACAATAGCTAGTGGCTATGACTGTACCTGGGCACACACTCTTTGTCATTCTAGTTGGTTGGTTTTAGATAATAAAACATAAACTCAGGATAGCAGATTTCTGGCTGTACGCACACAATAGAGACTAGCTGCCCAAATCCCACAGACGGGCAGCTCTGAGAAGACAACAGGCATCAAAAAGCAGGGGTCAGCCATCACCCCCATTCCAATCTGTTTCTCCCTGTTGGGCAGGGGCAGCATCCTTTCTGTTCAGTCTGATTAGAGGCATCCTGTAGAGTTTGTGGGATTGGATGGCATGGTAAACCGACAACTGACCCCAGGTGGTGACAGGGGAGAACAGTCACCCCTCATCCTCCTTCACCTGCTCCTAGGCCATGGGGTCTTCCGGAACATTCCGAGGCTTTTATACAAGGTTTTGTGGAAAGTCTCTGAATTCTTACAGAGTGTGTCATTCAGGACGGCGCCGTCTCACCAATCACTGCATTCAAATGAGGCTGCCCAGAAAGACGTCACCCACAGACTGCAGGATCTCAGCCTTCCAGCGGGGAGCTCTCTGTTTAAAACACTATCCATCTAGAAGGGGGAGCCCTGGGGCACCGTGGGTTAAGCATTGGGGCTGCTAACTGAATGGTAGCTGGTTTGAACCCACCAGCTGCTCTGCGACAATAACAATGTACAGAAATTGTAGGGTGACTCTGAGTCAGAGTCCGGTTTTCGGGGTGAGATGACACGTTACCCTTGGTTGGGATGGTTTTATCCCAAGGAATAAAGCAATACCGGCTGTAGAACACAGGTGGGATCCAGGGCCCCAAGGCAGCCCTGTGGGCGGGGCGCCGGTTACCCCACCCACCAGGTCTCCTCCCCCTCACAGCACTGAAGCCCCTTCTTCCTCTTAACCTGGTCGCGGTCGCTCTTCGCTGGGTCACCTCTAAGAACGCGAAGGGAGGGAGCTGGTCTCTGGTAACCTCTGCCCTCGTCCCAGCGGCTGCTCACCTGTCGGGGCCTCGGCGCCCCAAGCCCTCCTTCCTCTGCGCGGGTGTCTCCGGGTTCTCCCAGGGCAAGGCCCAGGGGGGCAGGGCTGTGTCCCAGGGGGGCACCTGGGGGCCGTCCCGTGTCCGGCTCGAGCGGGCCTTCTCCCCAGCTCTTTGATCATCTGGGCGGCGGCCCCCAGGCCTGTGCCGCTCCAGGTGGGGGTCTCGGTCCCTCCCCCGGTCCCGCTCCCCGCGCCGGTCCCAATCCCGCCGCCCGTCTCCAGTCCTTTCCCGCCGCCGGTCCCCAGCTCGGTCCCGCTGTCTCTCGGGGTGTTGGTCTCGGTTCGAACGCGGGTACTGATCCCGGTCCCGTTCTCTCGGTCGGGCCCGGTGTTCGCGAACCCTCGAAGGTTCTTCCATAGCCGGTTCTGTTTCCCCCTACCCCGGTGCACGACCCGAGGGCAACAACCAACCAGAAGTTTGCTCGGCAGGTGGCCAGGCGGGGAGGAGGCTCACCTGCGCGCAGGCGTGCTAGTGCGGTCCCAGCAGACGGGGCGCGCACCTGCAGGGGGCGCCCCGAAGTGTGTGGGCTGGCAGGGAGTGCACCGGAGGACGCGGGCCGGCAGGGGGCGCACCCGAGCACCCCCCCCAAAGTGTGTGGCCTGGCAGGGAGTGCGCCAGAGGACGCCGACCGGCAGGGGGCGCACCCGAGCGCGCGGAGCTGGCAAGGGGCCCACGCAAATGCGCGAACCATTAGGGGGCGCACCCGACCTCGTGCACTGACGGGAAAAATGCAAATAGAATCAGTGATGGCACATTCTAGAAACTGCAATCAATATTAGAAAACAAAATGTTTATGAATTGTTGAATGGAAAACGGATTTGCTCTATGGACTTTCACTCAAGTCACAATACAAATATATATATATATGACACAAATATATTTATATACAACACAAATATATATATTTATGTACAACGCAAATATATATTTATATACAATACAAATATATATATTTTTATATACAATACAAATATATATTTTTTTTAATTTTTATTTATTTATTTTATGTGTGTACCGTCAAATTGGATCTGACTGGTACAGGAGGCGATTGTTCCTCCTCCTTCAGCAGAGCATCTGGTGGATTTGAACCGCGCACCTCTGGGATTGCAGTGCAGTTTCCTGCCACTAGGCCACCAGAGCTCGCCTTTTTTTTTTTTTTTTAAATACTAGATGCTTAGCTTGACTAACACAGGTGCCCAAAGTTTTGGGAGTTTCTACTCTCAGGGGCCACCTTACCAAATGCACTGACATATTCATCAAAATATCCAATCATTTAAAAAATTATATACATTTTGGCATTTTTAGCATTGCTTCCTTTTTTAGTCTGTTATTTTTACTGTGGCTTTTAAGAGAAATTGAAGAGCCATTGTCTCAATTTGTTAGGAATCCACACCCAAAGCACTCATGGTACAACAAGGGGGACTGTCAAATTCTCGAAGTCTGATCTTTTGATCCTGTATTAGCTGTTCAGATAGCTCCAGAGACAGATTAGACTCCTAATGTACTACCTGCTAAATTCATGAGCTTGAGCAAGGTATATAATCTTTCTGCACCTACATTTTCTTCACTGGAAATGAACATAATAATAGAACTGACCTCACAGGGCTGGTTATAAAAATGAAATTAATTTATGCAAAACGCCTAGAATTGAGGCTGGCACAGGATCATTTTAGAAGAGCATTAATTATTGTTTTCATTTTCTTGTGAATTATTCTAGATTTTATGTTTTCTTAGAACTGATCATTTCTCTTTTGATTCATTCAAGTGTGGGGAGGTGCAACTGGGTAACGTGGCATAAAATAAGTAAGACATATTTGGTCACTTCTCTTAGAAATACACAAACCTGCGTGTGCCCCGGCCCTGACTTGCCCGGCCGGCCATCCACCAGCTGCTCGCTGCACCCTGCGTGGACACGGCTGGCAAAGCACACAGGCTAAGGGTTCAAGAGAGGGACCAATTGCTGCTGAGCCTGAGAGCTGTAGGTGGCAGTGAACTGGGAGGCTGTGATGCTATCTTTAAGCAGCTCCATTTCAAAGACTTAGATAGATTGTGCTGAGCACCTATGAGTGTGTGGGCCTTTCAGAGTGCCACATAAATCTGACCAGCTTCATCGAACAAGTAGCAGTGCCCATGATATAGGTCCTGTCCTTCCTCTAAATTCCTCAGGGGAGTAGGGTGGCTGAACTGGAAATCCTGGGGGGGAAAGTGGCGAGCTCTTGGTCCCAAGACCATACTGAGTCAGCATTGCCAAGTCCAACCTACACTGAGCCCCTCCATGCCCCTCTCTTCTTCGAGCTGTCAGTACAATAATTTGCAGAAGCCCTTCTCTTTTCATTGCAACTTCCTAGCAAACCATGACTTTCTTTCCAAGCTGCACTCGTTCTGATTCATTCCCCAAGAAACTATGATAGAGGGGGACGCTAAGTCTTCTTTTAGAAACCACACCCTTAAAAGTAAACATGACAAGGACATGCTTACATGTCAAATAAACTATTATGTTGCTCAAGGGAAAAAAAAATACACAAACCTGAAGAGAAACTGTGGTCTACATTCTCAGACTCAACACTTTGTATCCCCAGGTTGGTAATACCTACCAACCAGAGGCACCTAGGAATTCAGGTCTTGTGATCTGCTTTCAGAGTCAATACTTTGGCAAAAATCACAAGCCAGGAACACACTGATCAAATAATTACAAGATGCATAAGCTTTACAGTTAATAATTTTCATGTCAGGGTTCACTCACAGGATGTGGAAGCTTAGTGGTTGTTAGGCAATCAACAGAGCAGGGAAAATCAGGAACTTTGGTAAGCAAATTGATTGGTCATTCTGGACTATCTACAATATTGTGAAAGAAAACACTGATCTACATATGTATATATATCACTTTACCTATTTATTTTAAAGAACAGAGACTCCAGAACAGCTGGTCATCCTTGCGCTTAGAGGTTATTCCTCTGATACCAGACGGTGCCCTTCCTCGTCTAACTGCCCACAATCCTTGCTTGCTCTTCTGCATGGGAAACTTGGCAGAATCTTTTTCTGGTTGTTCCTGCCCTCCACAAATCCCAGGACTACAACTATGGTTCAATCACAACAGTGGCTGTGAAAATGACTCCAGGACAGGGCTGTGCTTTGCTCTACTGTATTTAGGGTTCCTGTGAATCAGAGCCAACTCAGCGGCACCTGCGATGATAACAACTTATTCACTAGGATTGAGATCTGCTCCCTCCACCAGATTTGCACAGGGGCTGGGGCTGATGGGGAATGTTCCATCCCTGGGGCAGACGCAATAAAATGCAACCCTGAAGTCATGCAGCCTGGTTGTTTCTCAATGTTTGCTCTGGCAAGGACAACAGGTAACTGGAGAGCTGATGCCTTGCTGTGGGGAAGTGAAATCCATTTTGTTAGGAGAGGGGAATCCATGCACCTAACCTGAGGTCTGGAGGGCAGTTGGTGTTCAGGGCAGTGAGCTCAGCCTTCTTTTGCTTGTCTCCTGGACACACTGTGACATCTCCAAATCAACACAGTCACCTCCCTTTTGTCCTCATCCAGAACCTCCTACAGACCGCTCCTGTTGGTGGTCCTCAGTGTACCTGGCCCTCGCTCTGTGTTCAGGGTACCTCATCTGTCTTGCCTCAGCACCTAGCAAAGGCAAAGCAAACAAGAGCGGGTGGATTCTTCCTCTGTTTCTGCCAGGAAATGGAATGCATGCCCTATGTAACTCGGGGTAGGGGGGCCTCTTTGGCAAGGAAGACAAATAAATTTGCTCCAAAATATAAATGATGTTTGTTTGTGGGACTATGAGGCAGGGCTGTTCACCAGTTAAGGATGGATGCCAGAGTTGGCTGCTTTGACTTGTTTCTTTTATTGGCTAAGACTCGGAAAAGCACAAATTCATATTTCTTACAAGTCTCCAGTCAGAGGTCTCACCCAGTCTCACTCACTGAGCTAAGATCAAGGTGTGGGTAGGTCTGCATTGCTTTCTGGATGCGCTGGGAGAGAACGGATTTCCTTCCAGTTCCGAGAGGCCAAAATGCCTTGGCTCACAGCACCTTCCTCCATCTTCAAAGTCAGCAACATCCCATCTCTCTGATGCTGTTTATTTTGTCACATTTCATTCTCTGACGTGGACTCTCTTCTCTGCTTGACCTAAGTTTTTATACAGCCATTTAATTGCTATGTAGTTTCCTTAATGTTTCGGAACCTAGGTTTTCCATTTGCACAACAATGTTATGATAAATAGTATCTGTGGTTTTATTCTGAGACCTCACTGAGTCAGGATTTGTGAAGTGTTTAGAACTTGCAAAAGGGCCAAGAATCTGATATGGTTAGGTGTCTTCTCAATGCCTATGACTCAAAGCAACACTATAAATAAGAGACCTGCACCGTGTTTAAGCATTTCCTCACCTTCTCCATCATGCTCAGCCCACTCTTGTACTTAATGTGTCAATCCATCTAGTTGAAGGTCTTCCTCTCTTTTGCTGACCTTTCCCCAGTCTGTCTCTTCCCAAAGATTAGTCTCTCCTGTCCAACATGTCCAACGCATGTGAGTCCAATTCACTATCGTTGCCTTTAAGCAACATCACGATCACACTTCCTCCAAGATAGGTTTGTTTGGTTTTTTGGCAGTCTAGAGTACATTTTATGTTCTTTGCACTTCCTCCAAGACAAGTTGGTTTGTTCTTTTGGCAGTCCATAGTATATTTTGTCTTCTTTTTCAGTGCCACAATTCAAAGGCATCAATTATCCATTGGAGTTCCGTATTTATTCTTCCTCTTCTGTCCAGAACTCCTCTCCAATGCCGTAGATGAATGGCATTGACTCTTCCTCAGCCTTCCTTGTTCACTGTCCAACTTTCAGATTCTTAGGAACCTGCTGAAAATAGCATGGCCTACATTAGGTCCACTTTTGTTTCTAAATTGACATTGCTGTTCTTTAATATGTTCAAGCAGTCTTTGACAGAAGATTTTGGTGGTGCAACATGTCTTTTGAATTCTTTCTTTTTTCAGGGGTGGGGTAGGAGTTAAAACAAAAGACAGTTCCCAAAATGTGTACACAGGAGCCTCAGCCTTGAGCCTATTGGCTCTTTGTCCAACAAAGTTCTCAGTCCTGCAGACACTGGCTTCCTCCACCCCAAAGTCCCATCGCACATCCAATTCTCCATTTCAGCTGCCGCCGCTGCTGCCATCCCTAACATGGCTTGGGGGATGTCTGTCTTCTCTGGCTACGCAAAGTATCTCTTCTGGTGTGGGAACAATTCCTCTCTGTTGCATTCTTGACTGCTGCTACCATAGGTGTTGGCTGTAGATCCAAGTGAAATAAATCATTGACAGCTTCAGTATTTTCTCCATCTTTTATTATGTTACCTGTTGATCTGGATATGAGGACTTTTGCTTTCTTGTTATTACAATGTAATCCATACTGAA